GTTTCTAAATAATTACTCAAAGTTGGAAAATACTTAGTTTGCACTCATACCTTCTGTAACAGATAAAGTGATCCTGATCAAAGAAAATAAAACCTGGGAGGATGCCTTATACTACTGCAGAGATCACTACCATGACCTGGTCACCATCACCAGCCTGGATGAGCAGAGATGGATCCAGGAGAAAGCCAAGAACGCCTCGACTGATTATGTCTGGATTGGACTGCGCTACAACTGCTTGATGAAGGCCTGGTTCTGGGTCTGTAAGGAGAACTGGGGCAGCAATCAGAGCCCGGCCTCAGAAAGATGGAAGAATGACTGTGACATGTCTGGAGCCATGGATGCAGGAGGACAACATAAGTGGTTCCAGAGAAATCCCTCAGAGGAACTGAATTTCATTTGTTCTAAGAATTAAAGCTCAAGCTGATCTCTGGTGTCATCATTTTTATTTTTCCCTACAATTAATTTGTGTGATGATAATGACCATATATTTTCTTAGTCTAAATGTTGGGGTAAAACATTTAGATGGATTAAAACGAAATTGTTCTCATTTCATTTGGTGTTGAATAAAGATACATATTTGATGTTTGACTTTTTAGGTTGTTTGCTTTGAATAAATTGATTGCATCTAGAACTGTCTACTCTTTCTAATGAATTGTACATTTATATAAGTTGTTGGACTATCTTTTTAGAGGATTAATTTTTAAATCATCTATAATTTTTAGAAAATATGTAGGCGTATATACTTTAGATGATCAGTTTAAGTTTTCTTGTGGAGTAAATGTCACAAAAGATGAATTAGTAAATGAAAGGAGAAATTAGAAGTAGTTGGATGTAATTCTACTTCTAATATAGAAGTAGAATTTTCTGCCTGGCTGCAAAAGAACTGCCCAGCACTGATCTTCACTAGCCTCTCATTTTCATGAAGAGCTTTATTTTTTAGACTTTTCTTTCTGAGCTTGAAGAACAGCTTCTGTGTACTACCCTAGTGATGACACCATTGATTCAAGCACTGTAATCTTTATCATATCTCTCCTCTGAAGGATTCTTGACAGAAAACTGAGCTCTGTGAGGGCATCATACACAACTACAAGACTGAAAACAAAGGAGTTGAGAACCTTATAGATTCCTTTGTATTTCAGTCTGTTGAATCCCTCTACACAGCATTGGCTGATGAAGAAAATTGCACCTGGAGCACTTTGTAGTTCTCCCATAACTGTCTTATAGTTCTCTCACTTGAAGCAAAGCAGCAAACAGTGGAGACACATCCTATGATGAGAGAATGCTGGCCAACGGCTGTGTATAACTCTCTCTGGTTCTTAGGTGAGGTTTGATATAGACTGTAGAGCTTGTAAAAAATAGCTGAAATGTTTTAGTCCACTGACTTTTTTCAGGACATCACCAATTCTCAATCCTAGGCAATGATTTAACCAGTGCCACAAAAACAATATCTGCATCGCAAATACGGCCTTTTTGTTCAGCATTACTGAAGCTGCATCACATGCAAAGACTGTTAAGTAATTGCCAAAACACTGGTCATCAAAGCTATATTTTTTAAGACATCCAAGCAGTGGCTTTGTGATAACATCTGCTGTGGTTCCATCCCGCTCCATCAGCTTAAAAATTTATATAAATGCTAACTATATGGTTATTTTGGTTTTCCCAAATCTAAAGCCCAACAGCTTAATCTTAGACACCTGGTCCACCAGTGCTCCCTCTGGTGACAGATGGAGATCATTGGTACATGACTGAACCCACTGATTACATTTGTCTTCAAAACACATTTTAAAAACAGTTTAGCAATATATATATATATTTTTTTCATTTTCTGGATTCGTAGCAAACCATTGATCATGTTAATTATAAACTTATAAAGTATAACATTAAACTTAATTTAATGTTATATAGTTTTAAAAATAGCATGATGCAATGCCACATAAATGAGAATATTTGTCTTGTAGCCCCTCAGAGCCAGAGGGTGTGTAGAGCAGCACCAAGTACCAGCCATAAGCACACAATGCCTAAGTTGGCAGGTAGGATTACTCATTAAGTGAATATTATTTTAATCTATATACACAGAATAATCTGTATACTCCCAAGTATGACCATTTTGGTCAAATATAACTTAGTGTCAGAAGCAAAAAGAGTAGTGATAATGGAATAGCTCCTGTTGGTATGGAAGAAACAAGGTATGGCTGATATATATTGTGTGACCAAACAAGTATAAGTTCTACATGCTTTCTATACCCAAGGCATATAGGTGACTGGTTATAATTTTAACATTAAAAGTAAATACTAGCAACACAAATCCCACATGTGAAATTAAATATTATGTAATGTGAAATGAAGCAGAACACTTAGCCCTTGACATACTGTATCTTAATTGGTTAAGTTCGAATGTATTTTCCATATCGAATGTGCTAATGCTTTAAAGATTACTATTGTTTTAAGTGATGTAGTTGCAGAAGAGTTTAAAGAAACTGGAGCAAGTGTGAAATATTCATATTTTCAGTTATTTTATTTCCCTTTTAAGGTTTAAAAATATGTGAACATTTATTTGACAAGAATTCTGATATTGTTGAAAAGAACATGTTAGAAAGAATTATGATTTGAGTCCGCACTCATGTTTAAATGAATCTACAGTAGTAGCCATTCAAAATTTCCCTACTTTCCTTGATTGGCCCTTGGCTCGTCCTTGGCTAGTCCCCTACAATTCCATTTTAAACATCTAAAATATTCTTTCTGTCATGACTGGACATTAAGATCTAAAGAGAGGCATTATCTCTTGGTCAGACCCTGTAATTCAGTGAAAGGGTGTAGTCACAGTAAAAAAAGTGGCTGGAAGTTGGAGGGGTTTTGCTGCCATTTGGCTGGCTTTTGACTGGCAAGGGCTATTTTGAATGGCTGCTACTGTGCATTGTGCATAAACCCTAAAGTGTTCTGTATTTGAAGTAAATGGTAAATGGCCTGTACTTATATAGCGCTTTTACAACTCAGGAGACTAGACCAACATTTAGTCATTCACACATTCACAGACACACTGATAGTGGCAAACTATATTGTAGCCACAGCTGCCCTGGAGCTCACTGATAGAAGCAAGGCTGCTGTACTCTGGCACCACCAGGCCCTCTGACCACCATCAGTAGACAATGCAGGTGAATTGTCTTGCCCAAGGACACAAGACACTGAAAGCCGGGGCCAGGTTTTCAACTGACAACCCTTTTTTCTCCTTCATCTGACAACACTGCCACCCCCCCCCCACCCCACCCCAACCAACACACACACACACACACACACACACACACACACACACACACACACACACACTCACACACACACACACACACACACACACACACACACACACACACACACACACACACACACACACACACACACTCACACACACACACACACACACACACACAGTACTGTTTGTTTGCATTTAGATTGTGATCTTATTAAGTGGGCCTTACTGAGGCAAGAAACTCCATGGCTTAATATGAGCCGCACTCTGGCCCTGCTGATGAATGTTTGGAGCTGATCTGATCTACAGTACCAGGGCTGAATTTTTTTCCTAGTCTGCCCCTGGAAGCAAAACACAGATTTCTACAATTAGCTCAGAGTTAAAGGTGTCGCTGTTGTGAATATTTGATGCAAACTTTACCTTTATCCTAACGCCCCCCCCAAAATAAGTGCAGCATATATTAGCACATATTGCCTTTACTAGGCATCCCCAGCTTGTCGAGCAGAAGACGTCCATTTTGAGCCTGGTTCTGACGGAGATTTCTTTAAAAATTTGATTTTTTTTCTCTCCACTTTTGCTTCATGCTTGCTCATCATGGAGGTTCTTATGATCCTGCTCTTGTTCTTGCTGATATTTATCTTCATTCCATCTCGTTTCCACTACCAGTTTCACTCCAGAGCGGATCCATTCCTGTTCTCATGCAGCAGCTCAGGCATATAACCAGAGTAAATTTCAGCGCTTATCTTTCCCGCCAAGGTCTTAGCGCCAAAGCCTTAAAGTATTGTATCAATAAAACCCTTCTAATTGCAGTCTTTCTTAATGTGATTTTAGATGAAATACAAATTCATATTTATGTATCAGTTTTTCCAATATACAGGAACACTATATATTGGGCTGTATCAATAATGGGTCAGGATAAAGATCAGGAGTGGAAACACTTTGACAATTTAATGTTTACAATAAAACTAAAGGTAGAACACTAACAACAAAAAAGTTTGTGGAATTACATCCTAGAACCTTTCTTACATCTCCCCTGCTCTACCAGCAGCTGCCAGTAATGAAGAGAACAACTTCCTTGTTTAGATCAGAGATTGATTAGTCTCACCTTGTATTGCTTCCTTTATATAGTTTTTATTTCTTTACTTCGTTGCTCTTACAAAACATCTGTAGACTATATAAAATGTAAAAGGCTCTAATGTAAAAGGCTAAAAACCTCTTTAAATTATCATGGTTTCAGTAGAGATGCTTTATAAATCCATAAATATATATATATATATTTTTTTTAGAAACTGGTTGTTGCTTTTATTGTATATTGTGAACAAATAATTAGGTTAGTCGATCATTTCTGGAAACACTCTTATAAGTTACTGACATATACTTAGAATCTACTGAATGGAGATTGTTTAGCAGAGCACCCTTTACACAAAGGCTGCTTAGTGATGAATTTCCTCTGAACTCTGGCTGTAACCCACCTTATCTTATAGGCAAATAACTACCATAAGGTTTAAACAACTAGAAGCACAAAGACAATAAAACATGTCTACATCTGGTTCCTTACCATCACCATGCTTTACTGAATAAAGGCTGTCACTGTTTTCTCTGTAACCAAATGTTAGGAGGTTTGTTCATCTAGTTAACATTTTTTCCTTCCTCTCATGGTTTATGATTCCTTACATGGCAAACATGTTTATCTCCTGTTTTGAATATACGAATAATGAAATGGCTAAATTCAGCTGCTGTTCAGACATTTGGGAAACTTTGATACCAACAGTTTATCTGAGGCAGTTTTCAGCAGAGCATCAATAAAAGAACGTCCCATTTACTGAGGAGAAATAGAAGCAGAGGTAAGCTCAGCTCACTCTCTGATGTTTGGCTTAACTCTAATTAAAACATAATAATTATGTCTAACTTCGCATATGCACTTCTTTCATTGGTAAATTTTTTAAAGTTTTTTCCTCCATGCTTTGGTTCCTTTGGTCTCCCTGTATTGCTTCTGTATAGTGGAAGGAGAGCTGCGGATTTTTAAAGCTTAATTTGAATGGGATCTTTGTCCAACAGAGACTGAAGGAAAATATTTTCAACCAACATTAAAGATGCAGTGGTTTGTGATTCTGCTGTATCTGATGGGTAAGTTAATGTAAAGCAAAACCAGACTTGGTTGGTGAGACTGGTTTCTAATATGGCAGACTCAGCAGTAGAATAACAATCTTCCCAAAATATTTTATATTAAGTACTACCATAAACACTGCTGGCGATGTTATTTTAAAGTAAATACCACAACATTTATATGTTTTCAGGACAGATTTGTTTCATCAACTGTCAGCTCTATGAGTATCACTACATTAATAAGGAAAAGACCTGGACTGAAGCTCAGCAGTACTGCAGAGAGAAACACACTGACCTGGCCACAGTGTCTAACATGGCAGACATGAAGAGACTCAACAGTACCAGAGCAGGAGATAAGAGGGAAGCTTGGATTGGTCTGTATGATCAGACAGATGGTAACAGAACATGGTACTGGTCTCTGCCTGGAGTGGAGTTCAATGAAAGGGAGACAAACTGGGGCACAAATGAACCAACAGATAAAGGAAATGGAAATCCTGAGAACTGTGGATATTTAAATAAGGACCTTAACTGGACAGATACTGGTTGCCAACATACATACCATTTCCTCTGTTATGATGGTGAGAATGTTGATTTACTTTTCTGTAGTTTGTTTATGGGTTGTCAAATTATTCTCTTTGTTTTATTGAGTAATTTTCCTATAAAGAAGAAACATGCAAAGTTAATGTGATGTGAGTTTATCTGTTTACTCCACAGAAACTAATAGAACCCAGAAATACCACTTGATTAGAGAGGAGAAGACCTGGCAGGAAGCTCAGAGTTACTGCAGAGAGAATCACACAGACCTGATCAGTGGAATGAAGCAGCTACAGGATGGAGAACTGAAGGAAGTGATGAAGTCTGTGGTAGAATGGACATACATATATTTTGGTCTGTTCAGAGACACCTGGAGGTGGTCAGATGGAAGCAGTTTCTCTTTCAGACACTGGAATGACGGGTTAAACAATCAGCAATACAAGACTGGTCAATGTGCTGTTGCTGGAATTGATGATGAAGGCAGATGGAAGAATGACAGCTGTAATAAGAAAAAACCCTTCATCTGTTTTAAAGGTATATATTTTTTTATCAAATATGACTTTTAAGCCAAGAACTATGTAGGAATATAATGTCTACATATTCTTCATGCATTCTTGTGTTAACATATCTATTATCAGTATTCATATGTTTCCTCCATGAAAAACATTGTTTTGAAATATCAGAGGTCATAATTTGCTTCTCTTAACCTAAAGATTCTACTCATATTTTCTGATTAAATATTCAAGCAAATTAAAAAGTGAAAAAATATTTGTTTTTTTCCCATTTCTACCACTCTGGCAGATAATGTGATCCTGATCAAAGAAAAGATGAACTGGGAGGATGCCTTATACTACTGCAGAGATCACTACCATGACCTGGTCACCATCACCAGCCTGGATGAGCAGAGATGGGTCCAGGAGAAAGCCAAGAACGCTTCAACTGATTATGTCTGGATGGGACTGCGCTACACCTGTACTCTGGATTTCTGGTTCTGGGTCAGTGATGAGGTGGTCAGGTATAAGAACTGGGCCTCAGGGGAACCAGTGGATGACTGTGACATGTCTGGAGCCATGGAGACAGGAGGAGAACATAAGTGGAGGAAAAAAAAAGATAATGAGATTTTTAATTTTGTCTGTTTTTAAAAAAATTTTTTTAACTTTGATTATTTTCTGTTCTTTAATACTTTCAAACTTGTACAACAAAATGTCTGACAGTTGAGAATTATGTGTATATTATAATCTTTTAACCAGATTATAGCAATGGAATATAGCTAATATTTATTTTATGTTAAACATGTTATGATTATATTTTATGGCTGTTTACTAGTGGGTTTAATGTAGATATAGTTAATATGAATTGTAAAAATAAAGTCATCACATCTGATCACTCATAAAATCTATCAGACTTTTGATTTTCAGGATTCCTTTTTGGGTTCCTTTGGAGTGTGGTTTTGATGTTGGCCTAATTACAGATATTTCATAGGTGGGAGACGCCATGAATGAGAGTGTGTCTACTTCATGTCCTAAAGGCGTGCCACAGGAAGCTGAGTTTAAGTGTTTCTCTTTGGACCTCAGTCCACAATGCAATGTTCTGTTAAAAAAATAAATAATTCAGACCAGAACTACACAAAAAACCCTATTGTGAGGCGTCAAACATGTAGATGTGAAGCTTCAATCAACAGACTCTCTGTAAAACTACTCAAGCAGTTTAAATAGAGGCTAGAGCAGGTGACACAGATGAACTGTGATGAGAAACTGGGTGGAGGTAGACATGTGAATGGAATGAACCATTAAGCCAGTCATCAGTGCCAAGTTCATGACAGAATGCTTCTATAGTGCAATATCTACAATAAACATGAAAGTTAAAAAAATAAACTAAAAGCTGTCAGGAACCTTTCCAGCAAGTCTTCTGGTCCACCAGCATTTTCCAATAATGAGACAAAGCAACTTCCTGTCTGGGGTCTAAGATATTTTGCATGCTTTAATCTTCTTGCTTCATTCATATTATTAATTAGCCTGACGTAGTCCGACTCAATTCTAGTCAGAATATGAGTCTGATACTGCTCCATAGAGCTGTGATTATGGGGCGTGTTTCGAACGGACCAGGAAAAAAAATGCCTCTGCACTCAATTGGATAGACCTACAACCAATAAGAGCAACGGAGTGCGTGACGTATCTTAAGCGAGGCATAGTTGTTGTCCACAAAAATCAAAGCGTGCAGTTTCACGCCTAGAATAAGAAGATGAGACTTGATCGCGTTTCTCTGTTCCTCTTTTAAAATTAATTTGCTGTCGATATCTTCTAGAACAGACCTAATAGCAGAATCTACTCACCCAAACTCTCCGGCGGCAGCCATTATTTGGTCACGTGGTTGATAACGTTACTCTTGATCATCTGTCCATCATCGTATAAAGCCCGCCCTGACAATTTGATTGGATCGCCTGACAGTGGGCTTTAATACTCGCGCTACTATGGAGCAGAGCCTGACCGAACTTCCCCGAACTCAAACCTTGTGGGCGGGACTAAGTTCGGACTGGCACCCAGGCTAATTATTAATTTCCCATAATCTGTTGCTCTCCCGACATTTCATAGTAGTTACTATCTTAGATCAACTTACCAACTTCTGAATAAATATTTCAAATATATCAGTCAGTGTGTAAGGAAAAAAAGATAATTATATAGTTTCCCTTTTTTGAATGTAGTTAATGAAATAAATGCACTTTTTCGTGAAATGACCAGCACCTATAGTATAATCTCGCAGGTTCATTTCAAACAATAAAGGATGATTTTGCAAAGAATAAGGTGGAGGAAAAAAAAACAATATGATTAGAATGCATTAACCATGAAAGTTAATAGATAAATAAACAATGTGACCAATTCAAACATTATATTAAAGCTGGATAAGAAATAGTTTTCCCCGGCTTCACTGTTACAAGTAACTGAATGGATTATCAGCAGAGCAGCTTTTACACTAAAGTTGCATAGTGATGAATTTCCTTTGAACTCTGGCTGTAACCCACCTTGTCTTAAAGGCAAATATAGCTACCTTATGGTTTAAACATTAACCAGCACTAAGACAATAAAACTTGTCTATATCTGGATCGTCACCATCAATAATATTTCTGAATAAAGGCTGTCACTGCTTTCTCTGTAATCAAATTATGTTCCCTGGCTTTAGAAGTCTGTTCATCTAGCTAACATTTCTCTTTCTTCTTCATGGTTTATTATTCGTTTACATGTCAAACATATTTATCTCCTCTTTTGAATATTTACATGAAAAAAAAAAAGCTAGAATTCTGCAGCTGTTCAAACATTTTGGAATCTCAGATAGCAACAGTGGATCTGCAACAGTTTTCAGCAGAGCATCAAGAAAAGAACGCCTGATTTAGTGAGGCAAAAGGGGAAGCAGGTGTAAGTTCAGCTCAATATTTGTTATTACGCTGTAAGTATGAAAAAAAGATGACTTAGATTCTTATTTATTGTGCGACATCAGCAAGTCTTTCATTTGTAAATAAAGGAGTAAAAAAAAGACTCTTTGCTATCTGCTCCTTTTCCTTTTGTTTTCTGCTCTCGCTGCTTTTTTTTTTGTCTGGACAGAGGAGACATAAAATGTGGGAGTTTAATATCCACTAATCTTACTGAGATTACTGAATTCACAAACTACCTAAAATACATCTTGCCAGAAGCCAATAGATGCAAGCTTCAATACAGAAATGTTTCAGACCAATTAAAGGCAGTGAGATGTATGACGTCAACGCATCAACCAGTGGCAGTAAAACAAACGTGGCTGAGCCTTTAGCTGGAATACCCTCAAACACTTTCCTTAATGTATGCCTTTGTGGCTGGGAAGATGTTTGCACGTTCCTCCCAAATGGATTTAGTGATTTTGATTACTCAGTTAACCTATCTCGGCTAGGTGTGAAAAATATCAAAGAATGATATACCTCACATCTGCTAATGCTCTGATTGGCTAAAAGCTTGACATGGGAGGCACGTTCCACTTGGTGATTTACCCAATCAGTTTAAAGAATTGTACTGACTGTCCCTCCCTTTTCCTTCATCAGAGCATTAGTAGATAGATACAATGTAAAATTCAAATTAAATTGCTTAATGTCAGGTTAAGAGAGAGCTGCAGGCTTTTTAAATCTTTATATTAAGTTTTTAAATGTGCTGTCCATCCAAAAGAGAAAGACAGTTTGAGGAAAATATTTCACCCAACATCAAGATGCAGTGGAGTCTGCTTCCGCTCTTTCTGATGGATAAGTTGATCTAAAGCAAAAATAGACTCATTGGTTTCAAATATGACTGACTCAGCTGTAGAATGAGATAAACATTTCAAATGATGTTATATCATCAACCCTTGTAGAGAGCTATTATATAATAGAAAGATACGGCAACATGTTTTATATGTTTTCAGGTCAGAGTTTTTTCATCAACTGTCAGCTCTATGAGTATCTCTACACACTGACTTGGCCACAGTGACCAACATGACAGACATGAAGAGACTCATCAGTACCAGATCAGGATATAAGAGGGAGGCTTGGATTGGTCTGTATGATCAGACAGATGGTATCAGAACATGGTACTGGTCTCTGCCTGGAGTGGAGTTCAATGAAACAGAGACAGAATGGAACCTAGGAGAACCAACTATGAGTGAGAAGTGTGGGGTTCTGTTACGGAATCTTAAATGGGTAGCTTTTACTTCTGTCACATCTTTCCTCTGTTATGATGGTAAAAACTAGGAATGCTGTAGTTTTTATGGATTGCCAAACTGTATATTTCAGACGGTTATTTCTATTCTCTCTTTTTTTTTTTAACAGGAAAGCATTTAAAGTTAATGTAATGTGAGTTTATCTGTTTACTCCATAGAATCTAATAGAACCCAGAAATACCACTTGATTAGAGAGAAGAAGACCTGGCAGGAAGCTCAGAGT